TCTGCACCGCGACGCCCTTCATAGCGTCGGCCATCTCGTCCTTAACCTTGTCGTTGAGCCTCTTGGCCTCCTCGTCTGATGCACGGGGTTGATCCTCCTCCTCTTCCCAATCTGCTGGATTCGGGTCCTCCTCCTCCGGCTCGGCCGCTTCTGAAGGCTCCTTGTCCCCAGCTCCAATTGGGATCGGGACCGTCCCAATCAGCACATACTTCACCTTTCTGCTTGTTCCGACGTCCTCCCCTGTCGAAAATGGCCCAGCGATGTCCACGTTGAGGACATAGGACGGAATGTCCGCCTTCAACCTCCGGTGCTGCCGATCCACTCCAGCCTCCTGCATACAGATGCGGCACCGTCGATTGAACGGAGTGTGCCCCCGCCCCACGTGCTGCTTCCACTTCTCCAGGGTCATCTTCTTGAGCTCCCCTGCCTCCATGGCTTTCTCTTCCTTCCGCTCTTCGAGCCTTTTGACCAGCTCCTTGAGGGACATCTTGATGGCCGCCACCAACCCAGGCGCCCATTTCGCCCAGGTTTTCGTCTGGACCAGCCTCTTGCGGAGGTCGCCCTCCATCTCTTGATGACCTTGGCCCTTCATTCCATGGAGCTCCCCCATGCCTGGCAAGTTGGTTGCCAGCGTGGTGGGTTTTCTCCTCGGATGGCCCGCCGCTCCTTGATCAAAGCTCACCAGGTCCATCATGTTCTCCTGGCAGAAGTCCTGAACCTCCTAAAAGTTCCAAAAAGAGGGCACATCCAGCTCCACTGCTCTGGGATCATACTCCACTGGGTCCATGGGGGACTCCAGCAAGAAGCCCACAGGTCCCTTCTTCTCCTCGGAGCATTCCTGCGCCCGAAGCCACAGGCCCATCTGCTTGAAGAACAACGCCGTGTCCCCATTGACCTTCTTTCTGTCCTCCTCCGAAAGGCCAGGAAGGCCAAACCTGCAAACGTCCCTTCCTCTCAGAGGTGGGGGTCCAGGCTGGTGATGCCTCAATCTTGACACAGTTCGGCACGGCGGTCCCCCCACCACTGCCTTGATCAGCCCCTTCTCCGCCAGGCTCCAAAGGTATCCCCACAACGCACCGTCATGAAGATTCTGCCTGACGTCCTCCTCTATGTCGACCGTGACGACTTCATAGCCGCCCCAATCCTCCTTCCGCCATTCCTTGGCATCACGGCCAGCGAAAAGATGCACCACGACGCCCTTGCTCGTTTCCCACTTTCTCCTCAATCTCCGATTGAAGGGGCATCGCGCAGCCACCTCGGCTTCTCCTTCCACCCGGCCCATGAGCTTCAGGACCTCATCCGGGATGCTCGGAAACCACCGCTGCCATCGCTCCTCATCCATCGTTCCTGTAGCCGCCTTCTCCGGGGCATCCAAGAAGTCCATCAGCTTCATCGCCTCTGCCCTTCGCATGACCGGACAGCCATACCTCAGCCAGCAGTGCAGCTTTCCGTGGCCGGGGTGCTCAATGCTGCACCCCTTGGCGTTCCACCTCACCACAAATCCAGCGTCTACCAACATCCTCAGCGGTATGATGGGTTCCACCGGCTCCAGCGTCAAAATGGCAGACGTTCCGGCATGCTTGTACAGCACCGTACTCCCGCAAGCCAGCTCCACCTCCACCGCTGTGAGATTGTCCCTCTCGTTTCGTCGAGCTTGTCGTAGCGCGTGGGTGGCTCCGCCGTCCAACAACGCCACCTGCTCCTTTTCCTCACCCCTTCCTGCTTCCTTCCCGGCCGCCGCATACTTGATCTGCAGCGCCCGGATAGACCTCAAAGACTTCAGCAGGCCTGCCACTTCTGTCAGCAAACCTGAGGCTTCTTCCGACCCTCCAGGGGGCGGTCTGGCCTGCTCTCCTGTTGATCTCGAAGCCGATGAGGCGGCACCAGGGTTCCACCCCGTAGCCTCCCGGGACGCCTCCTCCGCGGAGCCCGGTGAGCCACTAAGGCGGGCCCCTTCGCCGCCAGCTGCCTGACCTTCTGTCGGCCCCTTCTCATCTCCTGGCTTCTTGACCTTGGACACCTTTGGAGCCGACTGCTTCCAAGGGCTCACAGTCGTGGATTTCTTGACCGGGCAATCCCTCTTTGAGTGGCCCATCCCGGAACACGCAAAGCATCTGTTGGTTTTCTCCAGGCCTTCCCACGAATGTGCATAGGTGCAGCTGCTCCCCTTCTTGCATCCTCCATCTGTTCCCCAAAACCTACAAGCAGGGCCTTGGGGCTTTTTCCTGTTGTCCGTCACCTCCGGAGTCGCATCCGTAGCTCCTGCTGCCGCCAACGCCTTCAGGCTAGAGGTCGCAGGGCCCGTTCCCGTTGCTCCCGGAGTCGATGCCGCCTTAATCGCTGTCGTCAGCGAGAGCTCTTCTGCTTCAGCCTGCAGGTACTCCGCGAACTGCTTGATCTTCCCGATCTGAGGCCGAATATCAATCTGCAGCTCCTGCCGAACCGAGGAGATTCTAAATGAAGCCTGAGCCCCGGTCTTGCCGACCACCTCTGCGATCTTTCCCAAGACCGTGATCAGCACCAGCCCGTCCGGAAGCGCCACATCCAACTCCTCAGCTCTTGCCAACCATCTCCTCCACAGTCTCAAGGTCTGCAGAGCATCACACAGGTTAGCCCCCACCTTCGGGTCGGTGAGGTGCTTCAACAGGTTGCCCCTCTCCGAGGTGCCTCCAGGTTGATATACCTGGTGAAGCCGGAACATGATCTCCGTCGCAGACATCATCCGGGCCGAGATGATCTCCCTCCTGATGGGGTCCGGCAAGGCCGCCAGTAGCATCGACAATCCCCTTTGCTCAACCCGGTGATTGTGTGCCTCAACATCCCCCAGCGTGGGCTTCAACCGGAGCTTCTCCAACGGTGTCGCCGTAAGCCACTCCGCGTAGGTAAGCTCCGCTTTCTGCAGGACCTGCTCCCACCATAGCCTGGCCGATCCCGCAATGTCTGACATCAGCGGGGTGATGACCGTCACCCAATCTCCAAATTGCAGCGACGACCCCTCACCTCCGGGCGGGGGTAGACTAGGAAGCTCCAAATTCCTCAGGGCCTCCGACAGTCTAAAAGCCGTCGTAGCTTCACCACCTCCTTCCGTCGGTCTCGGAGGCGGTGGAGGCGGCGGTGGAGGAGGTCGATCCTCAGTGGCCCATCCATGAGCCAAGTTCCTCACCGCTTCAGGATGAGGCGGTGGCACCGGACCACCAGTTGCTCCTCCGTCCGACGCCGTCTTGTAGGAAACATCGTCTCCCGCCCTTGCTGCTTGCAGCCTCATAACCTCCCGCTCGAAGGTCTCCTCCGCTTCTCGAAGAACCCTTTTCCGTAGGTCCTCCACTTCACGATCTCCTCCAGAGCCAGGTTCCCGACGCTCCTGCGATGAAGCACCTCCCGGTGGCACCCGACTAAGGGCCACTCGTTGCTGCACCTCAGGACTCCAGAACGGATTCACAGCTCCAGGGCCCGGTATTCCACCTCCATTCCTGCCGTAGGGGTCGTTCTGCGGTGTCCAATTGGCATAGGGCTCCAACTGCCTGGGTCGGACTTCCATCAATCCTCCAAGCAGACCTGGTTCGCTGCTTCTCCGAATGCCTTGATCGTGCCCTCCAGGAGGTCCGGATCCGTTGCCTCCACGAGCGCCCCGATCATGGCCTCCGGAAAACCCATGTCCCTTACCTCCATGACCCGCCTGATCGTGCCCTCCAGGAAACCCACGTCCATGGCCTCCATGGTCCGCTTGATCATGCCCTCCAGGAAACCCATGTCCATGGCCTCCATGGTCATGCCCTCCAGGAAACCCACGTCCATGACCTCCACGACCTGCCTGATCATGCCCTCCAGGAAACCCACGTCCGTGGCCTCCACGAAAGGCTTGATCGTGCCCTCCAGGAAACCCAGGATCTCCGCGAGGCTCTTGATACCGCCGAGGATCAAGGATTCCCGTCCCGTCACCATCATTCTCATCCAACCTGTGATGAGTTGCCTGGCCGCGAACCTGCCCTTCTTGCTGTCCCGGACCTTGCCCATCACGACTGCCCCGGGCTTGTCCTTCTCCAGGATGTTGGCCCGGCCTTTCCATTCCCATATCTCCAGGTGGCAAAGGTAGGCCACGGTCTCCCGCCCCTCCTGCACCATGTTCATCTCCGTGATGTAGTCCCGGAGGCAGCGTCCACACCTCGGGTTCCCGACCCGCCGGTTCCCCACCGGCTGTCATCCTCCGAAGATCGCGCCTCTCCCCCAGGTTCTCCGACCTTGCCCTCCGGGAAGACCCATGCTCGCGGATCATCCTGTCCAGCGCCTGGTCGGCGGTTTCTCCTTCACGAACAAGATCTTGTTGTTGTCTTCGCCTGCGCATCATGGCTGGCTTGGGCTCATAACCTATGGTTATGTTGGGGTAAAAACTAGCGCGCACCCTTTTCCGATGCGTCTTGAGCCAACGTTGCAGTTGGTCGTCCATGCTCACGAAATTTGAGTGCTCTCTTCACAGTTGCAAAAGCAAACCCAGTGGCGCCTGGCCATGCTCAATTCTTGCCTGTTGAACGCCACGCATGTTCGAATGACAAGGATTGCGATGTTGACTGTACAATGATCAGATTCAACCAGAGACATGGAGGTTACCTATGGTGCAAAAGCGTTCACTCAACTCCACCAACAGCAGACAAGTTGGATGCCTAGTGGGGAAAAAAGATGTGCTACCTTTCTGTGCCTCCCACAAGCATGTATCTCAAAACAGGGAACATGGCACCCCGTTGTGGATGGCTCCGACGGGAAACCAACATGAAAACCCAACCACCTGAAAGGGGGTCCCTAGTTTGTCAAACACCCGCAAAGATGAAGGCTGATGGGGGGTTTAAGATGGTTTCTAGAGCAAGTCTGCGCCTAGAGCATGTTGCTGGGTCAAGGTGCTATGATTTTCAATTGCTCAAATCTGACCTCCAGGCCTGTTCGTTTCCCAGTGGTCCATGTTCAGTACAAATGGGTCGTTTCGACAGCCACCGCCACACGTGACGGAGGCCAGCCCGAGTGCCGCCTGAGTGAGTCATCGCCTTGCACGTTGGCGGAGCTGCCCAAAGATGTCAGCACGTTGATCCTGCCAGGAGCCCATGGAATGATGCGAGGTTTCAGCCGGCTACGAGGTCAAGTAATTGCACGCTCTGGGTAAGTTTCATCTCCAACCAAAGGCATGAATGTCGAGCAGCCTTTCATTCAAGGGTCTGACCACGACCACCTTAGTCTGGACGCTTCTGGGAGCAAAGGCATCGAACCACTGCCATCAGCAATCAACATAGCACCCCTGCACCCCAAGCTCGTTTGAGCAAGAGTCTATAAATAACAACCAATGACCACTGAAACCAGGAACGAAACTCGGACAGCATTGTTTTGGTCACGAATCTCTCTGTTGCATCTTGGAGATTCAGTGCAAACCAGGGAGAAAAGATTGCATCTAAGGTGTAAATGTGCACAGCCCAGAGTGGCTGCAGGCAAACCAAGCCACCAGGAACGGGAACAACACGGGATCCACAAAAGAAGCGCGTAGTTAAGTTCACTACCAGAAGCCAAAACCGTTTGGCCTGAGCCTGAGGCAAGCATGCGCTAGTACTTTTTCGGTGTGTGTGTGTGTGTTTGTGTTTTTGTCTGTTTGTTTGTACGTACGTACGTATGTACGTACGTGTGTGTGTGTGTACCCATGTCAGAATCCCGGGCCCCACCCCAACCCCCCCTCCCCTTGAATGGGCAAAAACACCCAGGCTAATCCATCCCGCAAATATCGGCACCGTCGGCTCGAGAGGAGTCAAAGCAAACCCTCCGCAGGGGCAGGGTCCCACAGCTACCTAAGCCCTCTTTGCCATACCTGTTTTGTCACCCTCCCCATGTGCTTGTTATGGCGCCATTTTCATCTGGCTGTTTTGCTTCCATCGGCTCCCCATTCAAACAGGACTATCCCAAGCGAAAATGCTTGCCATGAGAAATCCCTGGGCAACAATGGTTTGCTAGTGTGCTGGAAGAAGAAGCCCTTTCCTCCTCGGTTTTACGGTCAGCCCTAAGCCTGCCCGACTGACTTCAAGTTCACCTCGAACTGACACAACCGAACCTGTGATGTGGAGGAGGCAACACCCGCTGCATCTTCAGCGACTCGCCGAAGTATGGCTTTCAGGCCTGGCTCCTCACGTTGCTTGTTGTTTCTGGAAGCTTGAGATCAGCAGTATGGGATGACAAACTGGAGAATGGGAGGGGGCGGGCGTCCGGGTTTTTGGCGCAATAGAGAATCCATGTCCAGTTTTCCCATGCCTTTCGGAAAGTAGAGGCGAGGCCCTCCGGGGATAGTTTGTGCCGATAAGGGGACAATTACTGGGATCCTCCGCAACATGAAACGAGCGTGAGCCACTTATGTACCTTGGGGGGTTTTGAAATTTGTTTCCTGATGCGCAAGGAGAAACATGCAACCTTTGCCCCTTCCCGCATCTGCACCATTTGGTATTGTTAAGCCCGTCCAAGTGCTGGGAAGCCAGGGTCATTTGGGAATGTGTGAAGCACAGGGCTCACCTGACCTGCTGATTTTGGAGGGGCCACGCTCTGTTTGAATTCAGCGAGACGACATATCCTCCCAGGGAGGGCAGATTCTCGGGTCCGGCGCACGAGGTGGTCCCCGGAGTAGCAGACAAGCTGCTTCTCTTCTTCCAGGGGGGTGGGGCGTGCTTTAACGACGCCAGCACCCAGACTGCCCCTTGGATGGCACATTAAAGGCAAATGGAAGCAGCCTGTGTCTGGCGAAATTCAAGGTGGGCAATCATGGTGATTCAATATCCTTGCTTGGACAACCCTATCTCAGGATGTCTCAGGATATCTCAGGTTCCACTGATATGATTTTGCTACTTTCACCGGTGTCACAAGGGACGGACCCGGAAGTTGCCGTAAGCTCCTCGAAGGGGCCGCTCTTTCCGGTAAGGCACCCCCAAAGTTTGGGCCCCAGATGCTTCTCTGCATGGGTGACGAAGAAAGCAAAAAGCATCCCCGCTGGATCAGACTCAATGATCAGCGGACAGAAGTCGTTCAAATGAAGTTGGCGACAGCCAAGGGATGAAGATGAAGGGACACACGCACACAGAGCGGGCCCATGCATTTCCCATTTACTATCCAGGCTTGCCCCAGGCAGGGTGACATCATGCTTGGGGTGTTGTTGCAACGGACACCTTTTTCATGGGGTCCCCGTCATAAGCCCCCAAAAGGGGTCCCCCAACAGTTAAGCGCTTAAAAGCAGTAAACCTGCACATTGAGTGGGGGGTAAACATTGGGAACCCATGTCTGGATCCTATGATTGAGTGGGGGTTGGTATACCCTGGGACCCCTAGTTTAAAGGTTTTTCGTGGAATTTGGGCAACACCTTCAAATTAGGATGTGTTTTGGAGTATTTGAGCAGCATTTGAGTAGCATTTGAGTTGCATTTGAGCAAAATCTTCAAATTAGGATGTGTTTTGGAGTATTTGAGTAGCATTTGAGTAGCATTTGAGTAGCATTTGAGCCAAAACCTTCAAAATAGGATGTGTTTTGGAGTATTTGAGCAGCATTTGAGGAGCATTTGAGTAGCATTTGAGTAGCAGCATTTGAGCAGATTCGACCAAAATCTTCAAATTAGGATGTGTTTTGTTTGGAGTATTTGAGTATTGTGTCCCTGACAGCGCAGTCGTTCCCACATTTGGGTCATCATGCCAATTGTCCATGGCCCCAGATGATAAACTGCTGACCTTGAACATGAAGTGGCAGCATCAAGGTTCATGTAACAAGAGAAAATATGTAGCAAGTCTAGCTTTTTAGTCACTACTTGAGCAATGTCCATTTATGTGGCAAAAAGAGTTTAAATAGCCTTTTTGGGTACCATTTGAGCAAAGAGCACATTACTTTTCCGGGACCCCTTTTGGGGGCTTGTGACGGTGATCCCATGACTTTTTTGATTTCGAACGGACGGCATGTTGCCCATGGCTTGGGTATAGAGAACCACAGGCAAGGCGGCTTTGGTCAACCAAGCTAGGTAAGTGCAAACAAGGTAGTTTCAAGAAACAAAAACCAACTCCACAGTGCTAGACCACCCAGCACAAAGAGCCAGACAGGTTTGGTCATCTTTCCACAAGCATGGTCCATGCCAGGGGCAGTTTCCACCACGGGTGGCCAACAGCAAAGAAGGGGGTCGCATAGCCGCCAAATATTTTGTGTGCTTGACAGGCGGCCTCCTCAGAGTCCTATTTGAACATATTTGTCTTCCACGGGACCCTTCTCAGATGTTCCATGTGAGCATGGGGTTTTTGTTTTGAGGGTTCTTGAGGCAACTGACTGAAACCCAAGACAGAAGAGCTGGTTTGTTCCTGCCCAGTTTGCCAGCAAATGTTGAGCACCAATATCCAATGTCCAGCGACAGCAAGACCATGACGTGACTTTTCACCCAGCTCATGCACTTGTAGCTTTGAGTGTGGGCATTGCCAAAAGATGAGTTGCAAGGGGTGAGTGCGTCGCTCCTGAACGCTGGGAAAACCGTCGCTTCGGAACGCTGATTAAAAATCGCTTCGGAACGCCGGAAAACGTACTAATCGCTTAGGAACGCTGAAAGCGCAGCCACATGCCACGCGCTGCACCGAGACACCGGCGAGTGCTTGGCTCTTGAGGGTACCAGTTCCATTCTGGGATAGGCACCTGGGGCAGTGGGCCTCAATTTGTGGTAGCGGAGCAGGTTTTCCGCAGAGATCCAAGGGAAGATGTCATCCGATGGAGAAGGCTTCATGGCAGCCTATTCAAGTATGGCCAAAAATCCAGGCTATACGGAGGAAACACTAAATTTATCGATGACCGCCAAGCAGCCGCCATTCTACGACGGAAAAGTCAGCTGGTTCAGGTATGAAGAACTCGTGGACGACTGGGTGACCATCACAACGGTGGAAGCACCCAAGAGAGGACCTCTGCTCAAAAGCAGATTGACCGGTGATGCATATATGTACAAGGCAGTCCTCCAAAACGACCTTTTGCAAGATCCTGATGAAGGAGTCAACTATTTCAAGAACACGCTGAAGAAGTACTTTTTGAAAGGTGCGACCAACGTGTATCTGTACAGGCTCCTCAGTTTCTTCAATCATCGAAGGCAGAACCAAGAGTTCCTCATTTTTACCTCAAAACTCGAAATCCTTCTTATGAGATTGAAGGCAGCATGGATGGACTTGATGCCCGTTTTCACGGCACAGTCCCCATCATTTCGACAGTCCGTACAGGACGCGAATGCAAGAACAATTTCTCGACATCAGCAAGCAGCCGGTGTTCGAGCACCGCCTCCAGCCCTGCTCAATGAGGACGATCCTACAGTCCTCAGACAGTATATCCAAGGAATGCAGGACAGACAGCGGGATGCATTTCCCTTCAGGGATAATCTCATTGCACAGTTTTTCATCATACAGAGTGAGCTGTCAGATCAGCAAAGAGAGAGACTGACAAGTGCAATGTCATTGAGAAACATCTCACTAGAAAACTACTCCTATGAGATGCTGAAGACGCACTACCATGAACTCTTCATCACGACGAGGACATCAATCCAAGATCCATCCATCCGACCTCAAGGAGGGAGGCAACCGAAGCAACACATTCTTCATCATCGAGCAAGGTGAATACGAAGGAGAAGAAGGCTTCTGGGTTGAGGATGAAGAAGGACTTGAAGGATTCATGTCAAACAACGATGAAGAGACGTTCTGGGTCCTCGAGGAGAACGATGCGTTCATAGCAAGAAAAGTGTCGGGGCGGAACTTCAAGTTCAAGAAGAGAAAAGGAAAAGGAAAATCAGGAAACAAAAAGGGCAGTCACCAACGAGGTGGCTTTAAACCCTTCAGAAAAAGCGGTTCTGGCGGAAAGGCCAATATGGCCAACGAAAACTATGATCCCTACGACCAGGCATATTGGGGAAAAGGCAAAGGAAAGAAGGGAAAGAAAGGAAAATCAAAATTCCAATATCCCTATGATGGAAACAAAGGTTATCCATCCTATGAGAGTGGCAAAGGAAAGAGCGGACAGGAGAAAGGAAAATCCAAGACGTTCGCAGCCACCGCAGAGAAGACGGAGGAGCAGCCCGCCATCCAGCAGACTGCACCATCCATAGAGCCTACCTATGCCGGTTGGACAGACCAAGACTGGGATCAATCATGGACATGGAACGAACATGGCTGGTACTCATCCCATGAGACATCCAGCACAGGACAAGCGTTAATGGCATTCCATGATGCATATGAGCATCCTGGGAAAAAGGCCATCCACGAGAAGCTGATCCAATCAGATACAGTTTCAGAACACAATCTGTCCGTCACAACAAATCACAGCCTTCTGGCAACAAAGCTGATGGCGCCTGTCATCAACCCTCAGCACAACCCGACCTATGCGATTCTGGACAATGGATGTACCAGATCTATGGGCAGCTGGCATGCAATCCAGCGTTTTACTCAGGCCATCGAACCAATGAAGGACATCATCTCGTATCAGTACATCCCGGCCGAGACCAAGTTCACTTTTGCAAACGGAGAGACCGCCAGGGTAAATTGGACCCTGCATCTTCGATATCACACAACTCCTCCATGCAGTACCAACATCGACGTCCTTGAACAAGGAACTGTACCGATCCTCCTCAGCATCAGCTAGATGCGGAACCTCTACATGACCATCGAGCACACACCTCAATGTGACAAGATCACATGCATGAACCGTCAAGCAGTTCCAGTATACGGTACAGGACATGCACTCGTAGATCTCGCTGGAGTTGCAAGAGTGAAGGCGCATGGAGAAATTGCTCACAAGGGCCTCACCAACTATGTCTATGACGACGATAACAGCATCAAGTTTCCCTCCGGGGATCTCACCAAGAGCGAAACTGTTTGTGCAGCAAAATCATCCGAGACAAAGGAGGACCTAGCAACTCCTAAGATCATTGGGTCTCAAAAGCAGGACCATTGGATCCTTGACAAGAAGAACAAGCAGCTCATCCGTGTGCACATCACGCCCCGAAAGGCGCTGTTCACACCAAATGGAGCCAAGGAATGTCCAATCAATCCTGATCACATTAGCCGAGAACGTACTACGGAAATCATTGATGCATCCGCAGGTGGAGATCCAGACATTCTAGAAGACAATTGGAGACTTACATCCCAGGCAAATAAACCGATGATTAACCTGTGGACAGGTAAGACCATTTTCACCTTCGCGGACAATTCGCTTAAGGACGAAGAAGCAGGTTCAGGATCGGCAGCAGACAGGATCATCGACAAGAGGGGCCGGTCGACTATTGAGCCAGATCCTTTCGCACCATCCTCAGAAGAACCAACATCGCTTCCGCTTGCCCTAGGCAGAATACACAAGCGATTGTCAATTCCCGAAAAGTTGAAGAAACTCCACCTGCAGCATCATCACATGACAACAGATCAATTTCGATTTAGAACCCGAGCACTTCATTTGCCGAAATCAACATTCGATCTATTTGACAAGATCCGAAGTGAGTGTGAAGTTTGCCAAGCGGCAAAACATGCACCATCACGAAGCAAAACAAGTGGACTTCGAGCGGACACCTTTGGTGACATGACATTCATTGATCACTGTCAAGTTCCTCTTGGAACAGGAGAACACATCATTGTTTTTGTCATCCTGGATGGAGCAACAACATTGCTCACTGCAGAGGCAGTGACAACTACGCAAGAAGCCGAGAACAT